ATGAAATCCTAGAGACAATGCACTATTCTGCAACTAAAAAGTCCACACATGTCTGGTGTGCACATGACCATATTTTGTAACAATAACAAATATCAGAATCAATGAGACAAACAATTCATTGTGGTATCAAACAACCTACCGGTATACGTATCCAGAGTTCAATTTTGCAGGACCACGGACAGATCACAAGGTGTTAGAAACTTGCTTCAGTGGTCTTGAGGATGCCTTCTAACAACCTTCTGCAATTTGGTGGCCTTCAGATATATTGGGAAACAATTCAGACTATTCATCCCACTGAGACAATGTCAAACTAGTGCATTAAATATCCAGGTACTTGCTACTCTTTCCCAATGTCCAGCCTAATGGGCAAAGTACTGAAGATCCTTATATGTACGATCTTCAGGCCTGAAACTTAATGCCTTTGTATTGTTTTCTTCATTTTCCACCCAGTATGGCCTTTAAACCAATGAGCAGAGACTGAGAACAAGTCTGACATGATGGGGCTTTTTCCTCAGATAGGATGTGCTCAGAGTAAAAGTTATGTAGGATCTGGTCAGGAATGTTGAAGCCCTGGCCATCAGACACAGCTTTGCAAGCAGGGACTAATTCTTTGTGTAATGAGTATGGATGAGAGGATGCAACTAACTCAATTGTATCCACACTTTTGCTGTAATTCAAGATTTGGTTATAAAACAAAATCTGTACAAATGATTATCTCCATACAATGTATAGAGAGTAGTGTTAAGATCATTGTAGTAGATCACATTCAGTATTATACATCCCACTGTGCCTGTCAAATTCCATACGATATCTTAAAAGGGAGGCTATGTGCATTGCTATTGTTCTTAAGTTCTCATGGGATTGGGAACCCAAATCATTCTGTATGTTCCATTGTACGGAGGTCCTGGGCACATTCAGATTAGAACATTTTTTTTAAAAAATTGTGAATGAAAATGTCTCTAAAAGTGCCTTATAGATTTTTTCTGAAAGAACCTCATTCTACCAATTCAAACATTAACATATTTTCTTGAGTTTATAACATTGAATCAAATTTGCTGAAAGAAGAATCACACTTACTGAAATCTCATATCTTTCCTCCAGAAAATTGTCCACAATAGTCCCTGAACTCTTGAGAAACCTGCTTATGTTATAGATTTTCAAAAACAGTTTATGCAGTTTATTTCTGCATAAGAGTATTTCTGTGATAAGAGTATTTGAATTAGGCCAAAGTGGTGGCAGGAGGCAGTTAAAGAAATATCTGAGCCTCTCTTGCAATTGCTGTTGGCTCTAGAAAAAATATAAGTACCTTTTTTTCCTTACACTCCTGGGATTTAGGCTGAGGTTTGGAGCAGTACAGTGGCACTATGGGAATCCACCAGTTCTTTACATGCTATTCTGCAATTTAAAACCACCACCAATTATTTATTGTGCATACTTTGTAGCAATGCATTTTCAGAATGTCCTAGTATGTATTGCTGCATAATAGAATTATTCATCCTCCTCTGCTTTTAGAAGCTTTATCTGAGTAGGCGATAAAAACATCTTTACTCTAGGGCATAATGCACAAAATGCAAAGGTATAATCACAGGGAGCCGAATTCCTTTGACTCAGAGATCCAGTTGCTGAAGAATAATGGTAGGAGGGGAACTCTTCATATTTGAGTAGGACAAAGATCATTAGTTTTTAATATAGTTCTGCTAATGTTGCCTTCTAATTCAATCTTGCATCTCCTCATAACAATAATGACTAGCCATCTAAAATTAATTTGTGTCTTACAGAATAGTGGTTTATCCTGGTCTCCTAAATATCAGAGAGAGAATGTAATTGAATGGAGGAGAGGAGAGGTTCACTAACAGCAATTTTTGTTTAACATGAAAAAACAGTAAATGTTCTCAGTCCATACATCATTTATGCCTGATTACTATCATGTATTAGTCATTACAAATAAAAAAACCAGGCAAATGCAAATTTGAAATGCTTTATTGGCATGTCTTAATAGTCAGAAATCAGGTGAGTAATTAAAGAGCATTTAAGACATAGAAGGTTCAAAAGTCTTAGCAGGATTGAGTCATAATCTGCTAGCAAGTAAAAAGGAAAGACAGAAAAGTTGTGTTTAACAGTCTAGAGTTTGAACACCAGAGAATTCTAGATGCCAGTCTGAATATCAAACCTAGGTTGTCAATGGAAGACAACGAACAAGAGTAGTAGGCATAGAAGTCTGCAGTTGGAGACCAGGAGCCTGGAGGCTACTTAGCCTAGGGGGATATGCTAATTGCCTTTACTCAGCCCTTTGTAGTTGCCAATGGGTTCTGATTTAGGTGCCCTGCCAGCTTGGTGCCTCATTATCCGAAGTGGGTTTCACCTGCTCAGATTTATTGTTTCTTGAAGTTTCCTGTTTGCCTGCTAGCTCTGCAGGCTAATAGTCCAGTTTGCTGTTTAACTTCACATTCTGCAGATGAGACCATAACCCTTACAATCAAATTAAGGGAAATTCCTTCTTCGCATGAAGCTTCCTTTACCTTGCTTGGATCTGTGCAAATTGCTTTTTCATATCAAATGTGTTAGCCTGACATTAAATGGAGGGATGCCTTCAGCTCTGTAGTTTATTTTGTGATAGCATTTGTAGAGTAGAAAGTGGATTGGATCAGTTGAAATGACTTTAATTTCAAAATTGTAAGAAGACCCAAAGATCCTACATCACCCCCCAGGGTTTTATATGAATGACTTCCTCTTCTATACTTCCAAATAGAAGTTAATGACTTTGCTGATACTATATTAGATCAAGAGAAGATTAGAGTGTTGTGTGTGCACAACCCACTCAATTCAATGTACCGTAATTCTCTACCTCAGTCAAATTGTTTACCAGGAAAAGGTTTAATTATTTCTTCTTGACTCCAAGATGAAGCAGTTAGTGGAGGACTTCTATGAACATCATCTGTGTCCTCTTTAATTTTTGCTTTCCTGTATAGGTGCCCAGGGTATAAGAGGGCTGGCATTAGGTAGGGTCCCACCCAATTCTGTGCATAGTGATATTGTGATCAACAGCATTATGATGGGATTTTAGTTCTTTACTCAGGTGAAAATGAAATGTAGATGAATAACTAATGGAAGTGGCAACCTCACAGCCTTTTTTGCAGCAGCTCAAGGGACATTAAAAATTTCTGCTTCTTGGTTGTCTGGGTCATTGGAGATTGCTGCTGACTGAGGGTGTGATTTAATTACCTGCAGGAACAGCTGTATCTGCTGTCTCTATGGGTCAAATGGTAAGCATTAGCATTATTAAATAGAAAGCAGGCAGGGGAAAGGTAATTCTGTTTGCTGTAATTGTCCACTTTAGCTAGAATAGTCCAAGAACAAAAAACAAATAAAAACAAAACACACCACTAAACCATCTTACTACATAGAGTTCGTATTATCCTCTTTCAATTTACTGCACTATCTATATTTAAGAAGAAGTTCTCAAAACCTTTCTGGGTAACTTTTTTTCTTTGGAGAAATCATGTCCTTGCCTCCAAATATCACACAGAGATTGGATTATAATTCCCATAATTCAAGTAAGTAGAGTCATGATTGTTCTTCTGGGACACTATGGAACTCATTTAATAGTGTATCTGGACAGTTTCAATTTGGAGAAGTCCATATAAATGAGTAATAATTTTCTGTATTTAATAAAAATAAAGCAACTATTCCGTGTTGCTCAGGAGTAGTTTTTCTGTGACAGTAATTTGCTCCAGTTCTGGAGAGAAGTAATATTTGGTTTCTGAACAGGAGGAAAGAAAAAATGCTGGAAAAATATTTTTGGAATAACAAAATTGTGGGTTTCCCCCTTTTTGGATGTATAACTTCCAACACCCCTAAAGTGAACACATCTGGATGATGTAGATATGGGAGACGTCATATAAAGAAAATTAGCAGTAATTGTGCTTATTCATAACAAACGTTCATTTGGAAATATGCTATATACTACACTCATACTTTAGGAAAACCTTCTGATTTATTGACGTTATGTAAAAATTAGACTGTCTAAGAAAATTCTAGGAAGGTACAAAAAGGTTTAACAAAACTCTTCATATACATACCTAGTCATTTCTACAAGGTGCTACATGACTTGTAAGGCATAATGCCAAATAGTATTCCTCAGATTAATGAACATTCACATTGTGCAGAAATGGGATGTCTCCCTGTGCAGAACAGTGTTTATTTCAGAATTGTAAATGCATTTTGTAAGCTGTAATATCCTTTTTTGATTCAGTGGAGCCAAGCTAAATGCCTGCATTGAAGTCCTTGCATAGTTCAACTGAGTACATGGTTCAGACAGTCTCTCTCATTTCTTTAAGCTACTTTTATATCCACACTATCTAATCTGACTGAACTTTTTTATTTACCATAGAACTGTCCCATCTTTTTGTTAAGTGTTTAGGGTTGCATATCTATTTTTTCAAGTCTTCTCATATTTTTCTTCACAACCTAGGAGGTAAGATATGATAACTACCTAAAGGTACAGTAGATGAAAGAACATCATCAATAAGCAGGAATTTGTACTTGATTCTCTGGTTCTAGTCATGCACCCTGTTGGAATTAGCCTCTTTCATTGTAGGTGTTTTTACATTTGTAAAATGTCTAACTAAAATATTGAGTATGTTCTATCTTCACCTTCTTGCAAACCTTCTGAAGCATCTTGAAAAAGTGCATATAATTGTATAATTCACTCTCCTTTTAATTCTAGGTTTGGATACACTGGAATTCTTCATGAAGTACTTTTCTGATGGCAGTCCTAAGTAAACTCGCTGTTAAGGAACTGGGCACATCCATATTCCTGATGAATGTGATTTGAGTTCTGTAGTAGACATCTATTCTTAACATTAGTAATACAGAAAGTGTAACTACCTGCAGTTCCAAACTGGAGTGATGGCCCAGAAGAATTCCTAGATGTAAATGTGCATCTTTTCCATGGACTTTGATTAGAGGTGACATCGTCTCCTCACAACTCAGCTTAAAAGATGAGTGATGGGGTGTGGATCATGCTTAGTCCAGCAGAGTTTGCTCAGCTGCAGCAATATTCTGAATGTAAGTACTTACTTCAGCCAAATGCCTATCATTCTCTTGATGATTATTTATGTTAGCAATAACATTTTAACTGATTGACCTCCATCATATAATAGATGAGGTACAATCTTGTTCGTGTGTTTTTTTTTTACAAGGTGCTACAGTTCATACCATGGCAACTAACACAGTATGTATAAAACACACAGTACATCTAAGCAGTACACACAGTGTTTTAGGGAGTTTAACAAGAGGAAAAGACAAGAGAGGAAAGTGATTAGAAAAGCTGTTTTCTGTGAGGACAAGTTCTGAATAGCTATTAAGTGCAAGAGAATGTCCTCCAAGCAGAAGAATTCTCATTAGTGTATTGTAGGCAGCATATCAAACAGCCAGATTCCAGGGAGTAAACTGTTTGTGGGGTGGGGTGGGGTGGAAAGAGTTTCCTGGGAAGTTCCTAGCAAAGTTCTCCCTCCAAGCCTGAAGCAAGTTGTTCAAATAAAAACTTGTGCACCATAGAAGGCACAGGTATTGTAACAGGACTTGTTAATTATTTGGTGGAAAAAAAATTCAGACCACTGGCTTATAAAGTTATTGGCCTTCATTGCCTACATTAATGCTTAGACTGGGAAATAAACAAGGTGAGCTTCAACTCTTAGTATTCTCACTCTGGAGATTTGGATGGCCCCAACCCTTTTTGTGAGGCTCTAAAGACCTAGTTCTGTGCTCAGTCTTGGGCCCCCAAATAATGTGAAAGCATCCATCTCCTGGCTATGTTTGTGCTGTTGACTATGCTTGTTTTCTTGGCTGCAATGATTTTTAATTTTTGTATTTAATTTTTGTATCCAATAATTGTTTTTAGTCTGTTCATTTACCACCCAGAGAAACACTTGCTGAGATAGGTGGCTTTAAAAATTGGTTAAATAAATATATCAAAATAAACTAGAAATTAATTCATAGGAATAATAGATACATGATAGGATGATTCTCATGACTGGGATATAATAATCTAAGTATATAATTTGTTCAAAACAGGTAGAAGCAATAGAAAGAGAGGTGGGTTTTCCTATTCAGAAATCCAAGGGAATCAGTTTGATTGTAGAAACCATATGTGAATGAATGAATAAAAATAATACTGTGTTTGGTGTCTACTAAAGTCCACATAGCCACAGGGGAGGTGTGGGTGCTTTCCAAAACATAATTGCAGAATTTTCAAAAGGATATGAAACAGTAGTGATGGAAAAATTAACTCTGTATCTTTTGGGAGATGAATTCTGCCAAACAGCATCTTACCAGGAAATTTCTGACTTGCCTTGCTGAAGTCAGAGAAAGGCACAAGAGGAGCAATTGCCCTTGTTTAATTGTAATAAAGAAGATACTATAGGTAAAATAACATGTTAGTAACAAAGACCAAGGCATCATTTCATACTTCACAGAAGATGATGGTAAATCTCTCCAGTATTTTACAAAGAAAATCACATAGATAAAAAATATTAAATGGTTGACAATATGGCGCTGGGTGATCTGGTTAAATAGTGCTCAACAAGCTACTGAAGTGTAGCTGAGGATGTTTTGAAGTATTAATGTATGAAATGGCTAGAGACTAAAGCCTTCAAGACTTCAGGTTGCTGATATCATGCAGAAAACGAAACAAAGTTTTTAAATTTAGAAAAAAAATTTAAAAATGCAAAATGCAAAGCTTCAGAGACATTGTTACATGGAATGTATGAAGTATGAAATTGGAAAAAATCAACACAATGAAAGATTAAATGAATTGATAACACACTGACATCTTAGGCAACAGCAAATTGATATGCATTGGAATTGGACAGACAGAAGATCATATGGTTTACTAATGAACACATGAAAAAGAAAAAACAAATTGTATTGCTTTCATAATTAGGAAGAGCATAGTAAGACAGTATTTGGCTACAAAGCAACCCTTGGCTAAATAATATAAATTAGTCTTGTAGGCTATGTGTATATATGTATATCAGCTGCTCAGTGATGATGGCAAAATGCTAGCAAGTGAGGCAAAACTACTCAGGTTCTGTTAGTTTTAATAACAAAGTATGTATTTCATCAAGGAATTGTGGAAAAGAGGGTGAAGAAACATGACTGAAGCTTGAATTTGTTGGGAACCATCTCTTTGTTCTGAATGAGTCTAATTTTGAGGCCCAGATTGCATACCAGAATATGAAGGAGCTGTCTGATGGTCTGGCCAGTTCTTTATGTGTTATTTTTGAGAAATCCCAGAGAATGGGTAAAATATCAGATGATACTGAAGTATCAGATGTCTGTATCTTCAAATATAAAAAAGAAAGAATCCAAGGAATTACAGACCAATCACTCTGTCATCAATAACCTAGTAAAATTCTACAGCAGATCATAAAGCAATTGATATGCAAGTACCTTAAAAACAACATTGTAAATTCAAGAAATTGGTGTGTATTTGTCAAAATAATCTTACCTCACTTTGATTTTATATACGGTATATATATATATATATATATATATATATATATATATATATATATATATATATATATATATATATATATATATATATATATATATATATATATATGTATATGTATATATGTCAAAAAGTACAAAATCTTCAAACTCCGGGATAAATATAAAATATATCTATATATATATATCTATATATCTATATATATCTAGATAGATAGATAATATGGGCTAGATGGTATGACAATTAAGAGGATACTCCAAGAAGTAGGGTGTCAAAAGGTTCAATCCTGGGTTCTGTACCCTCAACTTTTTTTATTAATGATCTCGATCAGGAGATGGAGGGTATGTTATCAGATCTGCAGATGAAGAGATGAAATAAAATTAAACACAATGTTGATAGGTTAGAAAAATGCCCTGAAAATAATGGAACAAAATTTAACACTGAGAATGCAAAGCTATTTACTTAGGAAACCAAACTCAGATTCACAAACATAAATAGAGGATATTTGGCTTGACAGAAGTACAGTACTTTAAAAAGTGTCTTGGAATAATAGTTGATCACAAATTGAGTAGCAAAGTAATCTGGCTGTTAAAAAGGAAATGCAATTTGTAGAATTTAGGTATGGGAGAAAACAGCATCTAGAGAATTACGGGAAGTAATTGTTCCATTTTGTTCTGCTTAGGTCAAATCTTATTTTGAGGATGTGTTCACTTTTGCACATCATGATGCTAAGAAGAGACATTCTTGGGAAATCTACAGAAATTAAAAATGATCCAGAGAAGGGCAACAGGGTGAATAGGAAACTTAGAAACCAAATCTTCTACAGCAGGGGTGTCAAACTGCTGGCCCGTGGGCTGGTTTCATCATACCGAAGTTGCACCCATCCCACTGCCGGCAATGCAAAAAGAGTCACAATACGTACGTCACATGACAAGTTTGACACCCGTGTTCTATAGTGACAGACTGAAGGAACAGAAAATCTTTAGCCTTGAGAAGAAAAGATTGAGAGGAAGCAGTCTTTATATACCTGAAAGACTGTCAACTGAACAATATAAAGACCTAGCCTGTCATCATCTCAGAATGCAGGACTCAGAATAATTAATTTAATTATTGTTTCAAAATTCTGAACAAT